CAGGGATGTCCACCAGAGCAGTAGCTGCACGGCTCAATGTCCATTATCGGACCATAGGCCGTTTAAGAGTTCGTTTCCAACAGACTGACACGACTGCAAATCGACCTCATCCTCGTCGGCCACGTGTGACCACTCCAGCACAAGATCGCCACATCTGGCTCATCCATCTGCGGGATCGGCTACGACCAGCGTCACACACAGCTGATGAGACTATTGGTCTGCACAACAGACGCATCACACCTCAGACTGTCCGTAACCACCTACGAGAAGCCAACTTGCATGCTCGGCGCCCTCACCGTGGTCTGGATCTCACTGGTGTCCGGCATAGGAACCGACTCGCATGGGCGAATGCACATGTCCGATGGCCCTTGGCACGCTGGAGAAGAGTGATGTTCATGGATGAATCCAGGTTCCAGTTGTATCGTGCAGATGGAAGACAACGTGTCTGGCGATGCGTGGGTGAACGGTTTGCAGATGCAAATGTTATGCCCAGGGTTGCCCATGGAGGTGGTGGCATTATGGTGTGGCAGGCATCACATACAGGCATAGAACACCATTGCACTTCATTGAAGGGAACCTGAATGCACAAAGATATCAGGACGAGATTCTCACCCCAATTGTTGTGCCATTTGTGCGCCAGCATGACATCACCTTTCAACATGACAATGCCCGACCTCGTGTTGTCGGATGTTCTGGAAGTCTGGATAGGCGTGTCCAGGACCGTGTTCCAGTTCCAGGCAATGTGGGTCAGCGCCGTGTGGCACTCCAGGAGGAATGGAATAACATTCCACAGGCCAACATAGACAATCTGATCAACTCCATGCAAAGAGGATGTGTTGCTCTGAGAGACGCAGCTGGTGGACACACAAGATACTGAAAAATCAAATTCCTCAACCTGACCCCTACCATGTTCACAGGACTGTCAATCCACTACAAATGGCCATTCCACGATGTTATCAATGCCGATATGAAGATCAGTAATTACTGAAAATATATTTTGAGTTTTTCTATATATTGCGTAACCCAAATGTTCGTAAAACTCTTATTTTTGACATGGGGCGTTCAGTGATATTTTTGTTCAGTGTATATGCTTAAAATAATGTAGGTTCAAAGGTAAGCTTATTCAATGGTAAGCTTTTCTTAACTGTCAAATGTTCAAAAGAGGACTAGCTTCAGAAATCCAGAAAATAGGACTTTGGTAGGAAAACATGTATTGCTATAGTACTTCTACTACTACCTAAAATCTGTGTGAGAAACAAAGATGTGACTGTGTTCTGGTCCCTGACTTTTGCCTGTAGGTATCTGTGGATCCGCATGCAGCAGGTGAAGGAGCAGATAGCTGAGCTCTCCAGGAAGCAGGCCTGTCGCCCTCATGAACCCCAGTACGGTCGACTATTCCAGGAGCTTCAGCACTACCGCTGCAGTATCGGCCAAACGTCTGCTGTGGAGGACCTGCTGTCTCACCTGCTGAAGGCCCTGCACGGCTCCTCCTCCAAATCCAGGTCAGCAATCCAGGCGCTCCTGAAAGAGGAGGCTGTGTGGCAAAACTCCCAGCAGCGCTTCTGCCAGAGGCTGATGGAGGACTACCCCCTGTACCCTGATGTGGTTGGACCAGTGAGGACCGGCATCCTCCAGCTCCGCCACGGTATGCGGCTAGTGGCCTCCCAGGTGGCCGCCTCTCTCACTCCTGTACCAGGTCTGCCGAAGCTGGTGTCTTGCCTGCTGGCTTTCCCCTCGCTGTCCCCCAGCCTGCCGTCCTACTTGGCCCGGGCAGACTTTCTGTGCTCCAGGGCTTGTATGGACATTCTTCGCAGCTTGGTGAAGCTTCTGCCCCAGCAGGACACTGAACACGTGGTCCCGCAGTCCTCCACTCTGCTTCTGAATGCTCTGCTGTATGTGCAGTGCCACACACTGTCCACAGGGGAGTTCAGCCATGAAGCTCACCACCTCTTCAGACACATCTGCCAGGTCAGAGTTTCACTCACTTTCTAGCTACCGTGTATGCAATGCAGCTGAAGTAAATACATTCTGTTGTTTTAATGAAAACAAAATAATTATTTTACATTCAGAAGTGTTAAAACGTAAAATGCATGACTCTATCCGGATATTCCTCAGGCTCTGGTGAATGAGTGGGACGAGCAAGAAAGAAGGAAAAGGGAGCGAGAGCAAATGGAGGTCAGTCTGTACCGCAACCGCAGCCAACTGCACGGTTCAGGACTGACTGAGGATGAGCAAGAGGAAAGAGACTTCAGACGCCAGTTCCCTCAGTTCAATGAGGTACTTCAATATCTCTGTGATATGACAATGCTTCTGAGTCCAACTATCCTGTGTGTCCCAGTGATAATTATGATGTCTCCGATAATGTCTAACCCCCTAGAGATCAGGAATATGTTCTGAAAATGATTATATAAATATTGTGTGCAAAGTTCACATCTTGAAATGATGCTGGTGCTAGAAATGAGATCAAAGGTCACAGCTATCATAAGAATTTACCCTGTGAGAAGCATGATTATCCTCATACAGCTCACTGTATGCCCTTACTTCAACCACCAGGACTTTGCAGACATCACATCCTTGCCGAGTCTGGAAGGTCCAGCAGACGTCGAACCGGAGGGGAAGGAAGACAAACCCCAGGAGGAGTCTGAGGTGGGATCTCTGTCTCCGGCTGCCATGAACACTGTGGTCCAGGTGCATCAGAGCCTGTGTCTAGGATATGCCCATTCACTGTGGTACCAGAGCACAGCACCAGCCAATCACAGCAAAGAACACATTAAAGCCCTGGTCTCCTCCTATCAGATTGCTTCCCCAGTGATGCAGCGCTTCTATCATCTAATTGGTTAGTAACTTTGTCTGCTCATGTGCGTTTGTAAAACTTTCTAGTAGTGAAGTTGAAGTGTACTCATATAAACTATTGTTTCCCTGTCAGATTCAGAACTTGACCAGCAGCTGACAGGCAGCGAGCTGCTGCTCTCTGCGCTGCTCCAAAACACGGTGCAGGGCTCTGGGGGTCTTGATGGTCTGGCTGTCACCTCAGAAGGACCGTATGACTTCTACCAGCAGCCCAACATGAGCGAGGCCCGCCTCTGTCTGCCAGTTTTGGAACAGCTGAGGATGGCAGTGAAGCAGAGACTAGAGGACTGGCCCGACCACCCTGCTCTCATTCAGGTCAGTTAGCCTGCAAGAACTGGGTTTTAATGCAGGATTTTCATGTTTAGGTGATAAAATGGTGAAAAATGTATTTCTCTGTGGCTGCCAAAACTCCACAATGTTCATGGCTAGTCTGTAATTGTGTCTGTGTGACATTTAATACTGAGCTGGTCATGTACAGTGACTTTATCAGAGCTTTTTCACAGAAATTGGCTGCTGCTGTAAACAAGAATGGACAGGGCAAGTTAATAGACTCAAAAATCAAATCAGGCTGAAAACATCAGTAGAGATGAAAGGAACTGAACAGTTGGAAATTTAGTGCAACAAAGTAGTTATAAATATATTAATTAGTATGGCTTTTATATAAAAGAGTGTTACAGAATCTCATCGTGGAGCCTTCAAGGTTCTAAAAAATGAAACTTTGATCTTTATAATTTGAAGTCCTGTATGTGTGTGTCTTGTTTCTAGCTTATTGTGGTGATAGAGAGAATCATGGCTTTCAGTCTGGCCTGCCCACTGGCCAAGTTCCTGAACGGTCTGGAGATCCTCCTCAGTAAAGCACAAGTGAGTTCTGCTAGCTCGATATCTCGTGTGCTGAACTGTAGACACATGTAACTTACAAGACATCTTGAATCTTGCAGATGTTAGAGGTTGTAGCACAGAGCTGATGTCTATATTTCACATGTATTTGTTGTTCAGGACTGGGAGAACAACGCCAGTCGCTCAGTATCTCTGCGGAACGAACTGGGACCAGTCACACAGCTCATTATCCAGTGGCGCAAACTGGAACTCAAGTAAGACTATAAGGGTTAAATCCATCCAGCATCTTCTGTTCCTTTTTAGACATTAATTAAACACTATGTACGATGTTCATGATTTAAATGTGTCCTGCCACTTCTATGTGATAGTTGCTGGTCGAGCAGTCTGGACAACGCAATGAAGCGACACACTGAGAAATCCACCAAACATTGGTTCTCCATCTACCAGCTGGTGGAGAGATATCTGGAGGAACAGAGGACGGAGACTAATACAGGTACGTACAGAACAAAATTTATGCTGCTTTATTTTAACTGATGACACAGAAGTTTAAGATGACCGTTGTTTGACATAAATAATAATGCGTTTTTTTCCCACATGATTGAGCTTGTAGAGAAACTCTTTCTATACATTTCTGTGGGAAGCTCTGATATAATGTCAAATTAAAAATGTATATTTTAAACAAGGAGCCATATATTCTATTCAGTTCAAATCAGTTTTATTTTTATAGAGCAGTTTGCAACATATGTCTTCACACAGCACTTAACATAGTAAGGTATAGACCTTACAAATTTAAACAAAGAACCCAACAATCCAAAGTTGCCTTTGGACTCCCTCTGAGTAAACGGTTGGCAACGGTGGGAAGGAACCAAATATATGCTCATCAGTCTCTGTACATCTTTTCAGATGACAAACAAATAATATCAGTTGACAAGTAATAGCTCACTGCAAACTTAAATAATCAATAACCTTTTCCAGACACCACCTGAGGACATTTTTAAACTCTATTGTACAGTCAAACAAGTTTAGAATAGAAAAAATATATACTGCGCTCGCTAAGATGTTTTGTTTTCCTGTTTTGTTCTTGTCCAGATGAGAGCGTGGAACGCCTCACCCTGTCGTCAGTGTCCTCCACCCTCCAGGCCTTCATGGAGGGCTCCACCCTGGGCGAGTTCAACACTCGCCTGGCCATGCTGCTCAGCTTCCACTGCCACCTCCTGCTGGTCCCCAACCAGCCTGGACAAGGTCAGCCATCACTGCTCCGTCCAGTTCAATATAATATACCCACACTCAGTCCTCCTGTCTCTACTGGACATGAAACAGTCTTTTTCTAAGATGGAAGATGGTGGACCAAATCCATTGTTGTTTTTCAGAGGCGCTCTTATCAAATCCAGTCTTAAAATAGTACATAACCGTTATGTCTAGCTCAGATCTCACTGATTAGATTTCTTATTAGTACGATTTCATTGAGCATCTCATCACTGAACTTGATTAGTAAAATACATTTGACTTGTGACCTACAGTACAGTTGCAGGTCACAATATATGCAGATATTGTTGCTTTTAATCTGTAAGAGACTGCACTATTGTTCACATCATGTCTTATTTTACAGAGAATTTGTCCAACCTTCTGTGGAACCTGCACAAATACTACAATCAGTTCTCTGAATGCATCCAGACCAAAATAACTCAGCTCAGACAGCCCATTGAGAAGGAGCTCAAGGTATATATGAGTGTTGGGGTTTTTTTTTTGTTTTTTTTTTTCATTGCATACTGGTACTCTGAAATCTTGTTCATTCATGCCAGATTAAAGCTTTGACATTACATACACATTCATAAGTGTGATATGACTTCTCTTTCTCAGGACTTTGTCAAGATCTCTAAGTGGAATGATGTCAGTTTCTGGTCCATCAAACAGTCAGTGGAGAAGACACATCGGTATGTCCTGTGACACATGAGCTTGTAGCAACTTTAATTTGATTATTGACCAAAAAAAAAAAAAACTCTTGATGGATGGCTCTGCTAAGTCTTTTCTACTTGAATTTTTTTTTCAGCACTCTCTTCAAGTTTGTCAAGAAGCTTGAAGAGGCCCTGAATGGTCCGAGTGTTCCTTCTCTGGTGGAGCAGGGAAGCAGCGCCAGCTTGGACAGTGTGGACACCAACCCAGAGGAAACACCCATCCATCGGGTTCACAAGGCACTGAAAAGCACCCTACCTGGGAAGGGTAGAGATCTGCAGGTACAGGCCACATAAAGCAAACAGGGTTTACGTCATAGCATTGTTACTCCTGATCTCTTTACATTATCGCTGAGCTGTCGTGCATTTTTCAGAATGAGGGCCCAGAAGAAGAAGCTGAAGCAGCTTCTCTACAGGGACGTCTACCGGTTCTGTCCAGGAAGATGAAGAAGATGTGCATCCAGCTCCTGAAGAAAAACCCAGTTCCTGAGCTGGCTGAAGATTTGGACTACTTCACCAGTAAGAAAGCTCCTTGAGCACAATAAATATCACAGTCGAGTGTGACAGACTGACATGATGATTGAGTACATTTAAGCATCTTCCGTTTGGATGTATGTGAGAGTTTTGATGTGGAGGTGTATAGTGTAAACAACAACAAAATGGATATTATCAGAATATTATGTAAAATTACAAAAAATTAAAAAGCTCCAGCCTTTAGTGTAGGGTTGTTTAAGAAGCGCATTTGTTTTGTTCATTTGTTTCAATATCTAAGCAGCAACCTTAGACCACAAATCTGCTACCCCTTTTGCTAAATCACCTCAGAGTCCTTGCTCTTAGTTCAGCATCCTTTTCTTCTTTTCAGGCGAGGTCATCAGCAACCTGCGGGACCTGCAGAGCCTCTCCATCGACACATCAGCTGATAAAGAAAAGCAGAAAGCCGAGGTCAAGCACATCCTACAGCAGAAGCAGAGAGCTCTGTCTGACCTATTCAAGATGCTGGCTGAAATGGGTGAGTTTCCCCTCTGATTTATATTTTCTAATTATCTGTAATGTTTATCTTGAATAAATGTCCTATTTTTTTTATCATTTTCCTTTGTAGGTCTGTCGTATCGTAAAGGCCTGACGTGGAACAGGACAGCTGACCCAGAGAAAACCTTATGTATGCAGCCGCTGGAGATGACCACTGCTCTCTCTGCTATCAGGAACCAGGAACAGGGCGAGAGCATGTAAATATTCACAAAGACAGCAGTTGACTGGGATTGTGATCATTTTCATACAGTCGTATGAAAAAGTTTGCGCACCCCTGATCATTTTCAAGATTTTCCTTTATAAATTATTGGTTGTTCGGATCAGCAATTTCAGTTCAATATATCATATAGCAGACAAACACAGGGATATTTGAGAAGTGAAATGAAGTTTATAGGATTTACAGAAAGTGTGCAATAATTACTTTAAAAAAAGTAGGCAGGTGCATAAATTTGGGCACCCTTGTTGTTTTATTGATTTGAATACCTTTACAACTAATTATTGGAACACAAAATTTGCTTGGTAAGCTCATTGACCCTTGACCTACATACACAGGTGAAGCCAATCATGAGAAAGAGTATTTAAGGTGACCAGTTACAACTTGTTCTCCTCTTTGCATCTTCTCTGAAGAGTGGCACCATACTGGTGGTAAAGTTAGGTTTGTTGAGCTTTTACCATTATCTCCTAACACTAACGGAATAAATGATTATGTGACAACAGGATAGTTGATTAAAGGGTTCAGCATTTATTCTCACTTCAAGCTTTGACAGGAAACTTCTTTACATTAATTTTTTTTTAAATTTTACTGAGAAACCAACACATGCTTAGTAAATTGTGTATTTGCGTAGTTTTTACACTGAAATACTATTTTTTTTCTGTCTTCTTGATGCTTTAGGTTGTTTACAGAGTTGTTTACAGCATGGGACGGATGTCAGAAGTACTTCTACCGTTCATGGGCCAGAAGAACAGCTCTGCAGACTGCTTTCCAGCGGGCCGCCAAGGTGAGACAGATACTGATTGTTTCATGGTCCGTAATATACTTGGTGCATTTACTACTGTACCAACAACTCTTGTCCAAATGTTAAAATAATCGAAGGCCAGGGATTACAATGAAGAGCTCTAGCATAGATAGATAGATAGATAGATAGATAGATAGAACTTTATTGATCCCTTTGGTAGAACCTCAGGGAAATGTATAGCATCTGCTGTCCTTAATTGCGCTGGTGTGCATTTTGGCCCTGTCACTCTAAAGTTTGTGTATGTGTGTTACTGTTGGGTTGAAGGAGCTGGGTTTGGGGAACATTGAGCGCTGTCGAGGTTTCTCCTCACATCTGTTCAAGCTGCTCCTCCGACAGAGGCGACGGCTGGCCAAGCTCACCGAGCAGTGGGTCCATCTCAGGTCAGTGGATTAACTTTCACTAAGCAGACACTTTAACCAGACACCAGTGATGTGGGTATTTGTCTTTCTAAACATCTGAACATCCTAGTATTAAACTGTAGAGAAAGACAGCAATGGCTGAGCTTTAGCTAAAGCACTTGGAGCTAAAGAAATTATTGTAACGTCCAAGAACAGAAAAAAAACAACAACTGCATTTTGTAATGTTTCATAAAGGAAAGCAAGATCAAAAGTAGCTGTTTGTATACAGTAAACACTGATATTTCTAGTTTGGTTACACATTGCATTTTGTTGCCAAGTGGCTGCAGTATAAACAGGATAATACCAGACAAGTGTGATTCCATGGAGCCAAACCATCCTCTGGGTTGTTGTAAATCTCATTCATTACAATCATGGAACGCACAGCTTCTCAGATATTATTCTCCCCAGAGACTGGAAGTATGAGGGCATGAAATCAAGGAATTTTCTGCTGGTTTAATTTTTTGCTTCTGTGGATTATGTTGGAATTTCTGCAGTCTGTGTCATATTACTGCACTGTGTCCCATTGTGTTTTGTTGTGTTACAACCACATCCAGGAGGCTAACAAATAGTGTCCAGGGCATGAAGGTGCACTTCCAGAGCAACAAGGAGGATCCGGGCTGCACTCTCCCACCCCAGGCTTCTCTCAGCGACTGGGTCAGTAGAGGTCAAGAGCTGGCAGCTCAATGCACCACCCTCCTGCAGCAGCTGGCCTGGCTGCTGCAGTGCTGCCCTGAGGACCCCCAGCAGAAGGAGGAGGCGAGCAACTGCAGGCAGCACACCCTGAGATGTCCGTCCCCTCTGGCAGCCCAGCGCCAGCCTCCCGGCTGCCTGATGAGGAGAGGAGACACGTCGTGGTCTCAGCTGCACCAGCGCATCACTGCAATGCTGAAGGAGACCCAGAGCCTGAAGTTGGAGCTGGACTCTGTGGCTCAACAGGCCACTGAGACTGTTCTCCACACATGGTAAAACATAATTCCCTTGAGTTTGGTTGAAATCTGAAACAGCAGTGACAAAAGATAATGACAATCCGAACGACATTGTTTCTTTTTGCAGGAACCACTTCACAATATGTTGTTCAGCCTTCGACCAGCTGGGAGCTGTGGTGGCTCAGATGCCCGGTGTAGAGCAGCTCTTCACCCCGGCCGTATGCGTCGGCAACGCAGACAGTCAGCCGGCCATAACCCAGAGCCTGCAGTATGTCAGAGGACAGGTGGAGGCGAATATCACTGAGTTCACCACCTGGAAGACCCAGCTGCTCTCCCTGGGACACCAACACACAGGTGACTTCACTGATCAGCCAGACCAATACATAGAATTCCTTTACATATTACTGCCAGACATCCTGCACAAGCTAAGAGGAGTAACAAAGTCACTACTGTTGAAAAATTACTTTAAGACTCATAGTTCAAAATCCAATTACTTCCTTTACAGATCACCAGTCTGTCTTCTGTACTGAGTTCTCTGCTAAGCTGGAGACAAACATCAACACCGTGCTGTGTGCTGTCCAGACCCTTGTGAAGAGAAGGGAGAGAGAGCAACAAAAAGAACAGCAAGGAGACACCAAGAAAGGTGAGAAGGATGTAGTCAAAACCAGCAGTATTCTCTGAACATTACAAGTTACAGCTATAAATACAGCTGGCAACGTAAAATCTGACAAATGCACACAAAATGTTTTTGTCAGATAGAATTAGATGGTTAATTGCTGCTGTTTTTTGATGTTTCAGAGGGTGCTGAAGAGGAGGAGGAGCCTGTGGAGGACGTGCTGAAGCCTGGTCACCTGACCCGACTCCTGGAGGAGGAGGTGGAAGCTCAGGTGGAGGCTCTGAGTGTTGGAGATGTTAGTTCTGGACTGGAGAGGCTGCTTAGCCACCTGAGGGCCCACAGAGACTCCTGTCAGCCAGCACAGCTCCAGGTAACCAGAACACCTGCACATATATATTGACTGTCCATCTGAATTTAGAGATATACTTTAAAGATTCAAATGAAATGACCTGTACATTTCTGTGGTCTAGTCAATGTACTTGTCTATAGTATAAGATTACTATCACCACTTTTTTTTTCTACTTCAGTCACAATGTCGTGTACAGTACTGTATGAGTAGTATATTTTTACCTTTGATGGCTGGATTTCATTTTCAGATCTCCCCTTAATGCATCAGCTGTCTTTTTATTGCGCTGTCATTGATGTCTCTCGCTGGCTGACTTCTGTGTGTTCAGGAGGTGAACAAGGCATGCAGGATGCTGGTTCGTCTGGAGCCCCTGATGGGGATTTACTCTGACCTAGTGCGTTACTACGTGGCTGTGTCACTGGGAGCACACAGGAGCACAGGCAAACTGCTGTCTGTACTGGCCAGCATCTTCACGGAGCTCGCTCAGAAGGTACACACACTACAAGAGCCACGTAGTCCCATTTATACAATATTTATGATACAGTCTGTATTGTGTGACAGCTTAATCAATTTTTGCAATGTTCTTTTCAGGGTTTCTGCCTGCCTCAGGAGCTGATGCCCGGCGGAGATGGAGAAGGAGCCACAGAGTTTCACGACTACGAGGGCGGTGGTATAGGAGAGGGAGAGGGCAACAAAGACGTCAGCGACAAGATCGAGAACGAAGATCAGGTGATGAAATACCTGCAATTCATGCTATAGTGCTACGCACAGATAGACAGATGAATGGATTCCACTTAACATTCACGTATTCTGACTGCAAATGTCGTGCTGTCAGTCAAGAAAATTAAAGTGAAAAGACGCTTGCTATGGTCATAACCATATTTCCACAAACTGTAACAACAGCCTTTATTTACCTTAACTGCAGAAGGTTGAAAGCTTTTATTTGAAGCTGATTGAGTCAGAGGCAGGCCGTAAATCATTAGCCCCTCAATTTATCTAAAAAAATAAAAAATCTTAATCCACTACCGTTTGCTTTATTAAAATTATCTACGGCATTACCACGATCTTCATTTCTTTTAGCAACAAGCAGAGCATTAGTCCACAAATAACTATCTTTGGAAACATATTCACTTCATAACGGTAAAAAAAACAAATGACGAAGTTTATTTTTTTGTTTTTTTTATAAATATGCATATATGTGTGTGTGTGTGTGTGTGTATATATATATATATATATTACCCACATTATTAACACATGTAATCTGTTTGTAGCACTTTAATTGCCAAAAGGTTTAAGACGATTTTAATCAGCTTTTTTAATGAAAGTATTCCTACCCTCTTCCTCCTCCAGGTGGAGGACACCTTCCAGGAGGGTCAGGAAAAGGAAGAAGAGCAGGATAAAGGAAACATCAAGTCAGAGGACAACGCTATTGAGATGTCAGAGGACTTTGATGGCCAGATGCATGATGGAGATGAGAACGAACCAGGTTAGTTGAACTTGGAGGCAGAAGCATCATATAGACTAAGGAAAGCAGCACTTTATTAGGAGTTTAACTGAAATTGATTCTCCACTTTTCATATGTTGTACATGATTTGGGAAGAGTGTTAGAACATTGGATATTATGTCAGTGGATTTTTTTTAAAGTATCACTGCTGATTGGATTATTCTCTGTTTTATTTTTTGTAGGTGAAGATGAGGACTCAGATAAAGAGAATGAGGAGGAGCTGGACAAAAAGATGGGTGACCTGGGTGAAGGACAGACAGACACTCTGGATGAGAGAATGTGGGGGGATGATGAGGATGACGATCAAGAGGAAGGAAGTGACAAGGAGGAGGAGTCTGGCCAGGGCATGGACCAGGTACCTCTACAACACTATGCCAAGGGTTATGAAGAAAACATGAGAAACATTATTATTATTATTATTATTATTATTATTGTTATTGTTGTTGTTGTTGTTGTTGTTATTACATGTTTATAGTCACATTTGTCTGTGTTCCGTAATTTCTTATTAATACTGGATTCATTCAGGGTGAGTCAGAGCTGGTCGCCAAAGATGACAACTTGGACGCAGCAGATCCCAACAAAGACAAGAAAAACCAGGATAAAAACGAACAGATGGATGAGGAGGAGAAAGAAAAGATACATGAACAAGGAGATGAGGTACATCTTCTGAACTCTAGATGTTCATAGTGATTGCTGAACTGCAGCTGTCATTACCTGTTTCCTGTACTTTTCTATTCATATTTTAACATGTTTTCAGGTAACCCTTCAACAGTTTTTGCAGGGTTTCCACTTGGAAAAAAACATTTAAAAAAAAACAAAAACACACAGACAATGCCTGATCTGTGCTCTTGCTGTTTCTCAGAGGGAGTTTGATGAGAATGAGGTGGACCCCTACCACGGTCAGCAGGACAAGAGACCTGAGCCTGAGGCCATGGATCTGCCTGAGGATCTAAACCTGGATAAGGACGACGAGGCCGGAGATGATGGAGAAGGCGAGGGTGACGGTGAGACCTAAATAAAATAAAGACACAAACAGTCTGGTGCCACTATTTGCAAAAAGAAACCGTAGCACTGATCTGGAATACATAAGAACAGCTTTTCATTCTGTCTCTTTGACACTGTTCTCATTCTGTATAAGTGCACTTTGTTGCTCAGCACAACATATCTTAATTGAATGCACTTGTTGAAGTGCCACCCAAGTCAACAATGTTTTTTTCTGTTAATGGGTGCTTCACTGTGCAGGGTTAGGGTTAGGGTTAACCCTAACAGTACAAAGCTTTTGTCTATTTTTATCTACTGAAAGAGGAAAGTTTCTCTGTGCTAATCTTAAATTTCTGCAATTTGCTCAAGTGTGATGGTGAAACCTTGGATAATCACAGACTTTCAATGTGAGAAAAAAAAAATTTGAAAACACAGTCTGTTCACTGAGCACTAAATGTGAAATGCATTCCCCCTCAGCTCAGTAGAGTCTTACTTGTTACTTACTAATTTTTCAGAGGAGAATCCGTTAGACATTGATGACAAAGCCATGGATGTGGATGACAAGGAGGATGGACAGAAAGATGGAGGGGAGGAGGAGCAGGGAGGGGAGGAGATGGAGGAGAACCAACCAGGAGAGGAAAACAATCAGGAGACCAAAACTGAGGAAGGCGAAGAGGAGGAAGGAGGGGAAAAAGCAGAGGAGGACAAAGATTCTGCTGAGAAAGATGAAGCAAAAGAGGAAGAGGAGGAGGAGGAGAGAGGACAGGAGGCTGGAAGAGACGAGGATATGACTGTACCAAATGACAAAGGACACAAACCAAAGGTACGGATGTCGACAAAGGACTGTACCTGTGCTTATAATGGGCAAATGAGATGTTGTTCATGCTGTTTCACTGTTGGGACTTTTAATGGTTACAGGAGGAGGAGGAGGAGGAGGAAGGTGGTGGAGAGGACGAGGAGCAGCCAGAGTCAGCTGAGAGGAAGGAACACCAAGCAGACGGTCAGACTGGAGAGCAGAACCTTCAGAGTGATACGGCTGTGGAGGTGGCAGGAGAAGCATCAGAGAAAGACCAGGCGAAAGAAGTAAGCTATTCATGTTCACACATTTCAATTCACTGTCCTTTTACCATATTACACTTAGTATTGGTTTATTCTATCTTAAATCATCAGGTACCTTCTGCTCAACCACCACTGTTTTGCTTAAAAATGTTTTTATCATAAACTGTGGATATTTAGCATCTATAAAGCTTTGTATTGATAAATTAAGTACTTTAAGAGATACCCTCTTTCTTTTTTTTTGATAAATTAAGTACTTTAAGAGATACCCTCTTTCTTTTTTTTTCCTAAATCGCCTGTTGAC